TCCTGTCATAAATCTTTTTGGTCATCCAGTTTTATCAGCTAGAAGATCTGATTTATATGGATGGGAATTACCTAGCATGTTCATTAAAGCTAACTATTGTCAGTTCTCCTCTATTCTTAAAAATCAGCATTCAAAGGGTTAAGATCAAATGAGTGAACTGCTTTTTTAATAAAATACAGGCATGAAATGGAATTGTGAAGGTCTTATCTGTATCAATTTTATTTTACTTTTTCTCCTGCCTATTCTTTGTTTCCACTTACTAAATTTCCTGTTTTATTTTTTGCTTGTTTTATCATAAGGGAGATCTTTGATGAGCTGCTGGAAACAGAAAAGAACTCTCAGTCACTTAGCATGGAAGTGGGGAAGACTACCCGTCAAGCCTCGTGAGGAACAAACTCCTGGGTTGGCAGTGTGCGCTGCATATTCTTACTGCTGCCCACCTCACCTTTCCTCTGCTGAAGGAGAATTTGGAATTCTGCTTGATGCGGGAGCAACAAACAGCTCAGGGCCAAACCAAAAGACAAAAATTGGAGTTACATAGAATGCTCCATGCTATTTTATGGAAACTTTGGTCTCACATCTGTAGCTGATTATCCTCTTTTTCTCCTATAAGAGTGGCACTTCCTTTTGTCTTAGGAATACATGTTGTAAATATATATCTGTGTGTGTGTGTGTATACACACACACACACACACACACACAGAGGATGAATGGAGCCTTAAAGAGTTAGGATGAGCCCCCAGAATACGCCTGCTCAAAATTAATAGCACAGCAGTTTGGAGAAGAAATGAAGGTGTCGAAGAGTCCATTCACCTGAGAAATGTGTGAAGATGTACTTATCAGTTGGCTTTTAACTTTTATGTTCCTTGAGTAGTTTCACTCAAGTCTGTAACCTTTTGTGTGTTTCCTTATTAGTAAAGTTCACTGGAAAGCCAGCTCTTCATGTTACACTAATGACAGTTTGTTCTCTTTGCAAGAGAGGGGCATTGCTGTCACCTGACATGAGGAGCTGTTTTTTTTGTTGTTGTTGTTGTATGCAAATTTCATGAATTTGTGATGTCTTTGCTGTTTACATGCAGTCCCAAGAAATGGATTGTTGGTGCTTTGGAATATGTTACAGTCCCACGTTTGATATTCCTCATATACTTTGCTCTCTCTAAGGAGATTTCTTCACACAGTATGTTCATCATGTATCATCATCATTATTTTGGTGGTAAAGATAGAATCTTTTTTCTTTTTTTGTCATTCTGCCATGGAGCAGCATTACCCTAATGGATTGCAACCAAAACTTTAAACAGGTAGAAAGATATTTCTCCAATTGGGACTCCCCAGCAGGAATACTTAGGGATAAGGAAGAATGCTAGCATCTCTGTCTCTCAAATATAGGGAGGATTAGAAGAGTGTTCTTCTGATAAAGCTAAAATTCTGGACCACTAAAGCTAAAAGCCCTATTGCAAGTATGAAATTAAGTACTTGAGCTATAGGACAAACCTTGGGCATTTAACCATTTACTGTCTGGCTTTGCCCTTAAAATAGGATTGCAATTAAAATGTGATTGGCTTAGGTAATCCCAAGAACTAAAAAATAACAAAGGTGCGTAATATATTTATCTACTTTTTAGGTGCTCTGAGTTGAGGCAAAGTAGAGCGGCAACATTAAGTGCTATGCTAGTCACTTAGCTGACATAATCAGCTTGGTTAAGCAGCTTATGAAACCATATAAAGAATTCTTTTGAGGATGGAATTCTGTCCACAAAATAATTTTGTGAGCCCAGATGTCATTAGGATCACACAGAGTTAAGTGTAGCAAAATGAAACCATCGTATTCTTTCATGATTTTTCTTTTATTATAAACAAGGGATTATTCTTTAGTTCTCAGAGGTAGGGACAAACCATATCAGGTTTTCAGAAGGAAAAAACATTTAAAAACCCACCATCACTTGAGAGAATCGCTTGAACCCAGGAGGTAGAGGTTGCAGTGAGCCGAGATCACATCATTGCACTGCAGCCTGCGTGACAGTGAGACTCCCATCTCATTTAAAAAAAAAAAAGAAAGAAAGAAAAGAAAAAAAAAACACACAAATCATCATCACAGAAGATGCAACATATTTTCTGAAAGATTGCCTTAAGAGAGCTCCAGCCCTACTCTTGGAACTTGGATGTATTCTAATATAGTAACCTAAGTTTTGATTCTTTGAATTATAAATGGCCTCACCAGTTTTGCTTAACTACTGATAAATGCTTTGCCTCCTACCATCTACCTATATACATTATTGTAATGAATGTTCCAAAATGGTAGAGTGGTAGAAAATGCCAGAGTAGTTTAGAGCAGAGGAAAATATTTGTTTTAAAACTAGCTTTAAAATTTTGTTTCATTTCTACCAGGAGACTCTTTAGTTTGGTTTGATTTTGCTTGGAAATAATTGGTTTTCTTATAAATGAGTGAAGTGGTGATAAAATTCTTTGGCTAGTTATTAATTATTTTACCTGTCTTTGCATTTGAGAGGCACTGTTAAAAATTATTGGGAAAGATTTAAAGTGCAGGCTGCGTTAAAACATGGAGAAAAATAGAAATAATGCCATAAGTCTAGATTGCCTCATGAAGCAGCCTCATTTGAATTGCTTTCATAGCTTTCATATGTGTATGGTTTAGAAGTACACTTACCTCAGAAACCTGATTTGATCTCATGTCTTGGGCAGGAGTTGTTGAAATAGGTTATGGGAATATATAAGTTATCTCACTGCTCATGTACTTGCATGTTTGGGACTCAAATTTTACTTGATGTCTGTCCATTCTTGTGGCCCTGTCAGCCTTCTCCTTCCTTTACTCCTTTAATCTATTTCTTTGACTACCAATGGAGATTTCAGCTGGACTATGTTGATGGGGCTTGTTGTTTTTTTTGAGCTGGCTGTATATATTTTAAAATTATAAATAGATAATATATTATTTTTTGCACATTGTTATCAGTTTGCCCAGAATTGGGGATAGGGCAGTTAGCATGTTGGGGCCAGGAAGGGACAAGTTAGATAAGGACTGAGTGCTTCCGTTGCGGGCAGTTTGCACAATACCTAATTAACCTTCCTATTGAAAATACCAAATGTGTGGTTACATTACTTTAAATGACATTGAATTGGAACTTGATGGCAATTAGTTCTAGATACAGCATTTTGATCTTTGTTGGAATTTTAAGGGAAAAATAAACTAAACTTCATATTTGTTTATTTTAATCCCCTAATAGTACTGAGGGTTGGAAAGTTGCATGTGGCTGGATGCTGTTAATTTCTTTAATAGCCATGACTACAATTTAAGCCTATGAGAAGATAGACTGTTTCATAGGGATATATTCACATGTGTGTGCACACTCAGGAGTTTTGTCTCAGCAGGATAGAATAAGCAAATCCATGAATTGGTCTTTTGTTAATACTTTGATTCTAAAAATTATTTGTTTACTTGCTATGGTTTGTTCATTCTGGGCCTAACTTTAAAGGCTCAATAACAAATACAACAAATGTAAATATGTTTACATTTTAAGACATATGCAGTGGTACTTACAGATCAGTTAATTAACTCCAGAAAGCAAATGTTAGACTACACATTTATTTTTCTCCTTGATCAAGTGTAAAATTCTGAAACAGAGGCTTTAAAATATAAAACCTCAGTAAAATAATCCATGAATTTACTGATTCTTCTATATCGTGTATAGTTACCATTATGTAACTATACACATGTACAGCTACAGATATAGTTGTATAATGAAAATTATCTGCAAACACCTAAATTAAAGAGAGAAAAAAAGTAGTTTGTAAACTCATTTGTGGTCTACTGAAAAGAGGTTATATTAAAGCAAATAAAAATATTTTCCTTCTCTGTCCTCTGAAATGATTGCAGTGGATACTCTTAGTTATCCCATTTTGTGGGGGTGGAGGGCCTTTTTAATTTAATTGACCCCCCAAGGTGGTCTTTTGTTTTAAACAGGCAGTGGGGGAGGAAACAGAGCTGGATCTCCAAGTACATGTGGATTTTTAGAAAAATCAACAACCCAACACCAGATGCAAGTCACATAGAACTGTTCCAATAAAATGGATGAATGTTTTTTTCCTCCCCATTTTGCTTTATACTGAGTATTGCACTTTTGCAAGTGTATGCAAAAACTAAATAGACTTCTTCCCTCCTCTTTTTATTGCATTACTTCAAAATTCTAATTTTGTCTCTACTGATATGTCTTATTAACATCTGAAAAAAATATATATATTTTATTGGAAAATTCTAGTTTGTTAGGCCTTGAAAGTTTTGTGACAGTTATTTTGCTGTGTTTCACCACAATCATTCACCTTATGGCATGCTTTGATTACTAGACTTCAGGCAGTCTCATTCATTGTATCATACTTACAATAGTAAGTTGTCTCCATGTGTGCTATGTCTGAGGTGTATGGAGTTTTTATTTAAAAAGTGTGCCAGGCTGAATATAAGCATTTGATTTTGTAACATTGGACTTTTCTTAAAAGTATAGAGGTTCAAAGTATAGGTATGTCCATTGGCATAAGAATAGAGAGGGTGAGAGTCTGGACCAGGATCCAGGTTTGTCCAGTCAAACACCAGAAACTGGTCTTCAAAAATAGTGGGCCTGTGTGAAGAGTAAGACCACATGTGGGTGTGCACACCTCCTGTCCCCAGGTTTCCCTCCCTTTGAGCTTATCCTTCCCTCCCTAATTTCTCTGGCCTATTGTCATCGTTGTTTCTTTACATTTAAGGAGAGAAAAACAAAAATGAGATTCGTACACTTTGCCTAATTGAGCCACTACCAGGTTTTCTGGCAGCTGTGGCCACATTATTTGTGAGATGATTTTTTTTTCTTTATGTTCAGAGTGACTTCTGATTCTGATTCTTTATGTTTTGTATGGAGCGGCACTTTTATCTGTGTTTTAGCAGAACTGTTCCTCTGTATCCTTTACGGTTTTTGTTTTTGTTTCCTTTTTAAATTATGCATAGAGTTTTTTTGTGTGTATGAAATTAAAGCCTTTATTAACCTTCTGTTGATTTGACTGTTATTTCTGAAAAGGACACATTCTTGCTGATACTTATAACAACCTATTCAAAGTTGTGGAAATCACCTTCTGTTGACTTTCTGACATGGACTTCCTTGCAGCGTTGTTACTTCTTAAAAGGAACAGAATGGCAAACCAGTGTTTGGCCGTAGTCCCCATTGATTATTGTTATTTTCATCTGAGGAGCCTGTGAAGCTTTGCGGAGGCTTCTGGGTAAGTTTGTAAACCTAGCATTGGCCTTCACTAAGCTCTTCCTTTGCCTTATTATTAAGGGTTGGGAGAAGAAGTGAAATAGCATATGCATTTCTTACTTGCCTTTAGGTCTCAAGCCTAGCCCCAGTGGATGTGCTGCTCTCACAGTACTGTTTGGTATTTGTGAAACCTCCTAGAGGGTAGTCTTGTGGACCATTCAACTCTCCTTCAACCCTTTAACTTACCCACTGAGTAAGGCAGTAAGGAAAGTAAATGTGAAAAGGAAAAGCTGTTACTCTGGGGAAGACGTAAATCTGCAAAATGCTTCAGCCTACCTGCCATAGATAAAAATGAGTCATGATAGAGGACAAGCTAGGTAGGGTAGTGCCTCAGAACTCTAATGTTCCATGGAGCGTTTGTGCTCTTCTAAGAAGAGAAGACTCTAGAACAGGAGTATTAAAAATGATGCAATACCTCAGGATAGAAACAATCTAGCGACCTTCTTAGAAGTTGAAATGAGGACCATAGGCTCCTTTTGGGGAATCATCTTTCTGAAGGAATAGGTACATTATTAAACAAAAGTGGCATTTGCCACAGAAGTTTGTGCTCATAGGCACAAACTTTAACTGCAAATTTTCACTTCAATTGGTGTAGGACTAATATCGGTGAGAAAATGAGACCCCACAATCAGGGTAGGGTACTGCTTTACAACCACAGCTCCTCTTCTCAAAATAGTCCTTTTTCTTTCTTCAGGTTTTGTTGCTTCCATCGAGGCAGAGCGGAGAAGGCAGCTGGAGTCATCCCAAAGGCCTGAGTGAAATCTTCAATGGACAGGTGCTCCTAGAAGAGAGGGACCAGAGGGCAAAGGTCACATATCCTATCCTCCTCCCTTACCCTCAGGTGCCGTTTGCTCTGATGAGTCATGTAGATGTGGTGTATAATCAAATAAATGAAGAGTAAACACAAGCAATGTCAGGAGAGCCAGAAAAGGGATGGAGAGGAGGCGAATATGGTATTTTGGTATTCCAGAGGTTTATCCCTGGATTTTTCTTTTTTCTTTTTTTCCCAGACCGTGTCTTGTTCTGTTGCACAGGCTGGAGTGCAGTGGCACGAACTCAGTTCACTGCAACCTGCAACCTCCACCTCCTGATTTCAAGCGATTCTCCTGCCTCAGCCTCCCAAGTAGCTGAGATTACAGGCATGCACCACCATGCCCTGCTAACCTTTGTATTTTTAGTAGAGACGGGGTTTTACCATGTTGGCCAAGCTGGTCTCGAACTCCTGACCTCAAGTGATCCACCCTACTCGGCCTCCTAAAGTGCTGGGATTACAGGTGTGAGCCAGCACACCTGGCCTGATCCCTGAATTTTTAACAATGAAAAGATAGTAGTGTAGTAGATTGAGATCTTCTTTTTACAAGGGTCAAGTTCACATTAGCCCAAATAAGAATTAGGACTCTTCTTTCCAAGCCTTAGTTTTCCTCTCTATTAAATGGGGAACGTTTCTTTTTTTTTTTTTTTTTTTTTTTTAAAGACAGAGTCTTACTCTGTTCCCCAGGCTAGAAAGCAGTGGCGCACGATCTTGACTCACTGCAACGTCCACCTCCCAGATTCAAGCAATTCTCCTGCCTCAGCCTCCTGAGTAGCTAGGACTACAGGCACCTGGCACCATGCCCAGCTAATTTTTGTATTTTTAGTAGAGATGAGGTTTTGCCTTTTGGCCAGGCTGGTCTCGAACTCCTGGCCTCAAGTGATCCACCCACCTTGACCTCCCAAAGTGCTGGGATTACAGGCATGAGCCACCATGCCTAGCCATTGTTTTTTTGTTTTTGTTTTGTTTTTTGAAACAGCGTCTTGCTCTGTCACACAGGCTGGAGTGCAGTGACACAATCTCAGCTCACTCTAGCCTCAACCTCCTGGGCTCAAGCAGTCCTCCCATCTCAGCCTCCCGAGTAGCTGGGACCACAGGCATGCACTACCATGTTGCCCAGGCAGGTCTGGAACCCCTGAGCTCAAGCATCCACCCGCCTTGGCCTCCCAAAGTGCTGGGATTATAAGCGTGAGCCACCAACCCCAGCCAGGAACATTTCTTAAAGGCAAATTTTCACTTGCTTTTATGAAAATGAAAATAATATTACATATGAAAGTATACTGAAAACAAATTAGGCAGGCATGGTGGCACACACCTGTAATCCCAGCTGCTCTGGAGGCTGAGGCAGGAGAATCGCTTGAACCCAGGAGGCAGAGGTTGCAGTGAGCTGAGATCGTGCCACTGCACTCCAACCTGGGCGATAGTTTTCCATCTCACAAACACAAAACATAGTATGTTGCTCATTTACCTCCACTTAAACAGTGAATCCAAGCTGCCCACAAAGCAAGCAGATGAGCCCTATAAGGGTATCTGCTCTAGTCTGGGTATGTGAGATTTTATTAGGGCCAGGTGTGGTGGCTCATGTCTGTAATTCCATCACTTTGGGAGGCCAAGTCAGGCAGATTGCTTGAGTTCAGGAGTTCAAGACTAGCCTGGGCAACATGGTAAAACCCTGTCTCTACCAAAAAAATACAAAAATTAGCCAGGTATGGTGGTGCACATCTATAGTCCCAGTTACTCAGGAGGCTGAGGTGGCAGGATCGCTTGAGCCCAGGTGGCAGAGGTTGCAGTAAGCCAAGATAGTACCATTGTACTCCAGCCTGGGTGAAAGAACAAGACCCTGTCTCAAAAAAAACATTTTATTGCTGTCACAGGACATACAACTCTTCTAGCAAAAGCCTGTCACCCTCAGGAGAAGTCTCCCTCCTGGGCCCTACTTTGCTTTGGATCAAGTTAACAGACTGCCTGCAAGGGAAGTAGGACCCACTCCAGCCCTAATGGATGGAGCAAAGTAGGAATCTAGTTTCCATATACTGCTGTGGCACTTACAAAGGAACTGAGGCAGATTTGAATATTCCCATTTTCAGGTGATGCAGTTAAAAGTTTAAGAAAGTCAGGCTCACACCTGTAATCCCAACACTTTGGGAGGCCAAGGCAAGTGGATCACGAGGTCAGGAGTTCGAGACCAGCCTGGCCAACATGGTGAAACCCTGTCTCTAGTAAAAATACAAAAATTAGCTGGGCGTGGTGGCAGGCACCTGTAATCCCAGCTGCTCCGGAGGCTGAGGCGGGATAATTGCTTAAACCTGGGATGCAGAGGTTGCAGTGAACGAGATGGCGCCACTGCACTCCAGCCTGGGCAACAGAGCAAGACTCGTCTCAAAAAAAAAAAAGTCACGGTCACCTCATTCCAATATATGTTCCACTGCACCATGCTGACTTTCTTCCTTGAGTTTCAGGTATACTGTAAAGCCCTCTTGTCAGCTTTCAACTCCCAGACCTGCAAGGTAAGCTATTAACACTTGTAGTTGGCCACAATTTTACCATTATGGATAGCTTCATCACTCTTGGCTTACAGGTTTGGTTCCCAGTTAAAAGGCAACTTGTTGGCCAGGCGTAGTGGCTCATGCCTGTAATCCCAGCACTTTGGGAGGCCTAGGCGGGTGGATCACCTGAGGTCATGAGTTCAAGACCAGCCTGGCCAACATGGTGAAACCGCGTCTCTACTAAAAATACAAAAAATTAGCAGGCATGGTGGTGGGAACCTGTATTCTCAGCTACTTGGGAGGCTGAGGCAGGAGAATAGCTTGAACCCAGGAGGCGGAGGCTGCAGTGAGCCAAGATCATGCCACTGCACTCCAGTCTGGGCAACACAGTGAGACTCTGTCTCAAAAAAAAAGAAAAGACAACTTGTTAATCCTCATCAGTTTTTTATATTCTTCTGTGAATGTGTCAGATTATTTTTTAGGAGGAGGTTTTGCTTAGAGAGTGGGAGGGTAGCAGCAGAAGGTACAACTGAGGTCGGGGGAAGGATTCCAATAGAAGACACTAGGAAGGCCAAAGAACAAATTCAGAACTAAATTTTGCCTAGCTTTTTGAGTTGAAAAAATATTTGGATAAACAAGTAATACTAGCTTCTCTCATCCTGTGAATGATCCAGAAGATTAGATAGCACAATTTTACATTTTTACTCTTGGCTAGGAAATCACAACTGGGAGTCACTACCTTTCTAAGCTTTGGGTGTCTTCAGCCATAAGATGAAGGAATTCACTGAAATGACTTTTGTTCCCAGCACTAAGATGATAATGACACTGTTTAAGGCAAGCTAAATACCCTCAAGGCACACTCAGTTAAGAGTCCCAAATTAAAGTTGCTATAAAACAGCATCTCCCAGCCTTCATCTCTGCTGCTCTAAGCACCAAGAGGTAGACAGTATAGAGGCGAGACTTGTGGGTTTCCTTTAATACTTAGGCTGCTCTGCTAACATGGAGTTGCCCTAGGGAACATTTTATTGACTCCCACAGAGAGCCCTGAATTAAACAGCTTCTTAGTAAACACTATAGATGGATTTCAACCTCAGGGGGGTCTGATGCTCCAGATTTCTAACCTGTCAGATTTGCCTCCCACCCTGGGCATTCTCTCCTTAAGTTTCCTGGAAGCCTTCCCCACTCCCCGAGGCAGAGTAGGGGAGTATTTGGTTTTGGTTTGGGGCTTCTTTTTGTTTTTTGGGGGGGAGGCTGAGACAGGGTCGTGCTCTGTCTCACATTCTGGGCTCACCCTCCTGGGTAGCTGGGACAACAGGTGCTGGGTTGCTGGGACACCCTCCTGGGTAGCTGGGACAACCGGGCTAATTTTTGTATTTTTTTGTAGAGACAGTGTCTCACTTTGTTGCCCAGGCTGGTCTCAAACTCCTGGGCTCAAGCAATCTGCCTGCCTTGGCCTCCCAAAGTGCCTGGGATTACAGGCATGAGCCACCGCGCTCAGCTGAGTGCTTGGTTTTGGAAGAAAGAGGATAAATATAAATGATTTGGGGATCAGTGGATGGGGAAGAGCTGCCATACCCCACATCTGTGTGTAGCACCCTCCCCCCAGGTTCCTCACAGCTGTGGCTGCTATGTCCTAGGTCTTTGCTGTCTCTGGTCCAGCCTGGCTCTTCAGTTTTGTTAGGACTGCTGGACTCTGACCCCTCAGGCTAGATAGCAGGGACTACGCATCCTAGTGGACTTGTATCTTTCCGTTGGTCCTGTTCCTGAACCTGCAGTCCTGCCAGCTGATTACCAGCCTCACCCATGCCCACATCCGCCTCCCTGTTGTTTACTCATCAGTGCACAAATACTTAGATTACCATCTTGCTCTGCCTACAGCCAGACCCACCACCCCACTGTTGTCACTGGCTCACCTTGCAAGATTGGAGCAGACAGATCTGAAAACCTCTCCTACACTCCCACGTGACACTGAACTCCGCTCTCCCACAAGAATGTATACTACTTCCATGATTAAAAAAATCACCTGTAGTCGGGTGCGGTGGCTCACACCTGTAATCCCAGCACTTTGGGAGGCCAAGGCGGGTGGATCACAAGGTCAGGAGATTGAGACCATCCTGGCTAGTGCAGTGAAACCCCGTCTCTACTAAAAATACAAAAAATTAGCCGGGCGTGGTGGTGGGCGCCTGTAGTCCCAGCTACTTGGGAGGCTGAGGCAGGAGAATGGCGTGAACCCGGGAGGCGGAGCTTGCAGTGAGCCGAGATTGCGCCACTGAACTCCAGCCTGTGCGACAGAGCGAGACTCCGTCTCAAAAAAAAAAAAAAAAATCAGCTGTAAGCCGGGCGGGTGCAGTGGCTCATGCCTCTAATCCTAGCACTTTGGGAGGCTAAGGCGGGTGGATCACAAGGTCAAGAGATCGAGCCCATACTGGCTAACATGGTGAAACCCCATCTCTACTAAAAATACAAAAATTAGCCGGGCGTAGTGGCAGGCGCCTATAATCCCAGCTACTCGGGAGGCTAAGGCAAGAGAATGGCGTGAACCCGGGAGGCGGAACTTGGAATGAGCCGAGATCACGCCACTGCACTCCAACCTGGATGACAGAGCAAGACTCTGTCTCAAAAAAAAAGAAAAAAAAAAAAAAGTCGGCTGCAGGCCAGATGCAGTGGCTTACGCCTGTAATCCCAGCACTTTGGAAAGTTGAGGTGAGTGGATCACCTGAGGTCAGGAGTTTGAGACCAACCTGACCAATCTGGTGAAACCCTGTCTCAACTAAAAATACAAAAACAAATTAGCCGGGTGTGGTGGCGCACGCCTGTAATCCCAGCTACTTGGGAAGTTGAGGCAGGAGAATTGCTTGAACCAGGGAGGCAGAGGTTGCAGTGAGCCGAGATCACGCCATTGCACTCCATCCTGGGCAACAAGAGTGAAACCCCATCTCAAAAAACAAAACAAAAAAATCAGCCACAGGCTGGCTGCAGCATCTCATGCCTGTAATCCCAGCACTTTGGGAGGCAGAGGCAGGTAGATCACCTGAGGTCAGGAGTTGGAGACCAGCCTAGCCAATATGGTGAAACCCCATCTCTACTAAAAATACAAAAATTAGCCAGGCGTGATGGCATGCGCCTGTAGTCCCAAGCTACTAAGGAGGCTGAGACAGGAGAATTGCTTGAACTCAGGAAGTGGAGGTTACAGTGAACCAAGCTTGTGTCACTGCACTTCAGCCTGGGCAACACAGACTCTGTCTCAAAAAAAAAAAAAAAAAACAACGCTACAGAAAACTGATTTTTAAAAAAGAATCTAAGCCTTCTTTGCTTCTACCATGATGGGGCTGTCTTGAGTCTGTCCATTTAAAATTAGCAATCCATTTCTGCCTTCCATCAATCCTCTGGTTCAATAACATTGGCTGCCCTCCTTTAGAAATACCTCCTTTATTGGCCAGGCGTGGTGGCTCATGCTTGTAATAGCACTTTGGGGGTCCAAGGCGGGCAGATCACCTGAGGTCAGGAGTTTGAGACCAGCCTGGCTAACATGGGGAAACCCTGTCTCGACTAAAAATACTAAAATTAGACAGGCGTGGTGGTGTGTGGCTGTAATCCTACCTACTTGGAGGCTGAGGCAGGAGAATCACTTGAACCTGGGAGGCAGAGGTTGCAGTTAGCTGAGATCACGCCACTGCACTCCAGCCTGGGCGACAGAGCAAGACTCCATCTCAAAAAAAAAAAAAAAAAGAAAGAAAGAAATACCTCCTTTATGCTGCATGGCGTGATGGTAACAGTGGGACTCCAAAGGCCTGGTTCTTGCTCTGGCTTTGCAACTAACTAGTAATGTTAGGCAAGTCACTTCATCTCTCTGGATCTCAGTTTTCTCAGGTGTAGAACAGGAGATAATAACAGCTTTCATTTGTAGAGTACTATGTACCAAGGGCTGGGCTTACCTTGTCATCATACTGGGATCATCCCAATGTTACAGTGAGGACACATGTGCCTCCTAACCTCCCAGCAACCTCACAGATGAGAGAACCAGGAGAGAACACAGGAATGTGCTCTCTAAGGTAAAAGGCAGAATTGAAATTCTCTGGGAACAAAACACTTTATATTGAGTCGAAACCCTTAACAGACTTTGATGTTCTGAGAGAGAAACTAGATATCTCTCTTCTGTGATCCCTTGATTCATTTGTAAGACTACTTTTTGACTTACATAGAGTATATTATCTCTCCTCTCAATACCCCTAAGCTAGATTGACAGCCTATTTTGGATCTTCGTGAAGTGGGAATGAATATTAGAAATGTGTTCTTAGGCTGGGTGCAGTGGCTCACACCTGTAATTCCGACACTTTGGGAGGCTGAGATGGGAGGATCACTTGAGCCCAGAAAGTTGAGGCTGCAGTAAGCCATGATTGCAACAGCACTCCAGCCTGGGCAACAGAGTGAGACCCTATCTCAAATTTTAAAAAAGTGTCCAGCCCCAAACTCCATTCCTCACACGCACACAAAAAAGTGTTTTGAACAAGCCACAAAAAAGTGTTTTGAACAAGCTCTTCTTGCTGTGCTAACCACAGTTACCGCATGGACCATGTGCTGATGAGTCTTAAATTCATATCTCTGCCCTGGTGTTCCTCTGAATTGCCTGCCCGCTGAACATGTATCTAAACCTCAAAGGATGTAGCTACCACTAAACTAAGCTCAGCCTGATCCAGTTTTCTATCGTGGAGAATGATGCTATTTTCTCTTCTCTCATACTCTTTATCCAGTAATTACCAAATATCATTGATTTTACCTCCTAAATGTTTCTCTCCACCATGACCTATTCTAGATTCCCACCTACCTATCAGCCTGAGAGCAGCTACGCTGTCTCTCCTAACTGGTGTTCCTATGGCTGCTCTTGCCACCTTCCAGGCTTTTGTTCAATGAGCAGCTGTAATTATTATTATTTTTTTGTTTTGTTTTTTGAAACGGAGTTTCACTCTTGTCATCCAGGCTGGAGTGCAATGGTGAAATCTCGGCTCACTGCAACCTCCACCTCCTGGGTTCAAGTGATTCTCCTGCCTCAGCATCCCAAGTACCTGGGATTATAGGCACAAGCCACCACGCCCGGCTATTTTTGTAATTTTAGTAGAGTTGGGGTTTCACTATGTTGGCCAGGCTGGTCTCGAACACCTGACCTCAGGTGGTCCGCATGCCTTGGCCTCTCAAAGTGCTGGGATTACAGGCATGAGCCACCGTGCCCAGCCCAGTGTATGTCTGTCACTCTGCTACTTCAACCATAATGATACTCCCCTTCACTGCCAGGATACATGATACGATCCTTAACTTGGGGTAGAAGGCACTGCCAGTTCAGCCCTGCCTCCCTCCCTGGCTCTGCACACCACAGCCACTCTGGCTATCTTACAGTTTTGCCCCCATTTTTATTCCTTGCCTTTGGGCTTCGTGTTAGCTGTCCCTTCTCCAGAACTAACTTACTTTGCCTCTATAATTCCGGTTTATCTTTCAGAAGGAAATCTCTAAATCAGGCTCCTCTTTGTAATACCTTTTTTTCTTTTTCTTTTTTTGAGACAGTCTCACTTTGTTGCCCAGGGTGGAATGCAGTGGCATGATCTTGGCTCACTGCAACCTCCACCTCCCAGGTTCAAGCAATTCTCATGACTCAGCCTCCCGAGTAGCTGGGATTACAGGTGTACACCACCACACCTGGCTAATTGTTATAGTTTTAGTAGAGATGGAGTTTCACCATATTGGTCAGGCTGGTCTGAAACTCCTGACCTCAGGTGATCCACCCGCCTCAGCCTCCCAAAGTGCTGGGATTACAGGCATGAGCCACTGCACCCGGCCCTGTTTGTAATACTCTTCACAGCTCCTGTACTTCACTTTCTGGCACTTAACCCTTAAATTAAATAATAGTGTAACCAGGCTTCTCTGATCTCTCTCCTCCTGAGATACAAGCTGGTATGAAGGCAGGATCCCATCTGTCTTGTTCATCCCCAGCACCTAGTCACCTGTAGGGCCAAATCTGGGAGTCAACTATGGTGGTCCAACAAATGGACTTATTTGTCCTCCTTTGAGGGTCTGACCTACCTCCTTCCTGCTGGGATCCACACCCTCGGGGAGCTCCTCTACAGGCTTGTTCACTAGCTGCTCCAGGGGGAAGATGGGCCGAGGCCCAGAACTGAGGTTGCTGTTAGCATTGAACACGTCCACTTTCGAGCTTGTGACCTCCTAGGAAAGAAAAGGAAACCACTGGTTACTTAGCTGGTGTGCAGCTACCTCCCAGGCTGCCTTTCTCTCTGAAGTCTCTAGGGCACCACCTTCCAAGAAGCCTCCCATGTCCCACCCCACCCTGCCACACATACACTCATAAGAACACAACATAGGCCGGGCGTGGTGGCTCACGCCTGTAATCCCTTTGGGAGGTTGAGGTGGATAGATCACTTGAGGTCAGGAATTCAAGACCAGCCTGTCTAACATGGTGAAACCACGTCTCTACTGAAAATACAAAACTTAGCCAGGCATGGTGGTGGGCGCCTGTAATCCCAGCTACTCAGGAGGCTGAAGTAGGAGAATCATTTGAACCTGGAAGGTGGAGGTTGCAGTGAACTGAGATCATGCCACTGCGCTCCGGCCTGGGCAACAGAGAGAGACTCCTCAAAAAAAAAAAAAACCCAAAAAAAAAACACACACACAACATAGAGCTTAGTGGTCTGTTCTGACCAAAGTCCATTGGTGAAAAATGACTCTTTTCTTTAATGATTCATTAACTTTCCCATGGCTTCCCCCAGAGTGTGAGATCTAGCCTGGATATTTGTGACCCTGTCTCTCTTACCTCTTGTGAAATTGTCATCTATAAAGTCACTTAACCTTGACCTATCTATACGTGCCAGTCTGTACTGTCAGTCCACCAAGAAAGGTTTCGTGAGTGCCATAAGTTTTGACCATCTGTTGATTATACCCCAGTGTGCTTGTGAACTTACTCTTGAATTCTGGACACATTCCTCAGAGTTAGCTCTGTCTTGTTCCCTCTGTAAGCCTGTGAACTTCTCAAAGCAAAGGTTTTGATTTCATATTCCCATGTCCCAGGCCTAAAGGCTAAATACATTTCCTTTTTTGGGGGGTGGGGGGACTGCGGAGGGGCAGGGGTTTTTTTTGAGACAGGGTCTGACTCTGTTGCCCAGGCTGCAGTGCAGTGGCACAATTTCAGCTCACTGCAACCTCTGCCTCCTGGGCTCAAACCAACCTCCCACCTCAGCGTCCTGAGTAGCTGGGACCACAGGCACATACCACCACTCCTGGCTGTTTTTTATTTTTTGTAAAGATGAGGTTTCCCCATGTTACCAAGACTAGTCTCAAACTCCTGGGCTCAAGCAATCCATCCTCCTCGGCCTCCCAAAGTGCTGAGATTACAGGCGTGAGCCCCTGCGCCCGGCCTAAATACATTTCTGTTAACTCACTGAAAGACCAAAGGAGTTGTAGTTTATTCTACCTAGAGAAGGGACCCCAGGGGTGATGGTGTGTAGAGACAGCATTCTTTCTCAAAGTGTAGTCCATGGACTAACTACATGAAATTACCTTTTTAAAATAAGATTTAAAAGATGCAGATTCCTAGGTGCCAATTCTTAGTCTATAAACCAGAATATTTGGGAATGGGGCCTTGGAATCTGCATTTTAATATGCTTCCCCCTTACTCCCTGCCCCCAGTTCCCAGACTTTTATGCATGATAAAAATCTGAGAACCAGGCCAGGCGTCGTGGCTCATGCCTGCAATCCCAGCACTTTGGGAGGCCGAGGCTGGGGGATCACTTGAGGTCAGGAGTTTGAGACCAGCCTGGCCAACATGGTGAAACCTCGTCTCTACTAAAAATACAAAAATTAGCCAGGCATGGCAGCACACACCTGTAATCCCAGCTACTTGGGAGGTTGAGGCATGAGAATCACTTGAACCCGGGAGGTAGAGGTTGCAGTGAGCCGAGATCCTGCCACTGCACTCCAGCCTGGGAGGCAGAGTGAAACTGTGTCTCAAAAAAAAAATTGAGAACCATTTCACTAGGAAATTGAGGAAACAAAACCACTAGAGGCACTGGAGTTAAACAGCAAGAAGAATGAGAAGTAGGGAGAAATAGGAGGGAAAGCACAGGACACTGGTGTCTTCTCTGCAGCATTCTTGGCTCCCACAGGTCTGACCACCAGCTGGCCACTGCAAGGCCCAGCCACCCTGCCCCGGACTCACAGCAGTGATCTGGCTCCAGTCCCTAGAGTTGCCAAGCTCCACCTTCAAGTCCTCATAGGATTTGGCGTTCTGCACATAAAGTAAATAACAGATTAGACCTGGATCTCAGCAGAGAAGATGGATGAGAAGCCGTTTTCCCTCAGGAATGGAAAGAAGGCTGGTCTGGGGCGTAGTGGTAAAGGAAAGAGGATACACAGGCTGAGGCTGGAGGAGGGTCCCCGAAAAAGGAGATTAGGTGGTGAGGTTGGGACCAGAGGGGCTGCCAGATCAGAAAAGGGCAGGGCAGGCTATATTTGTCCCAGCTCAGCCTGACTTGGGGATGGGGAGGATCTTTTCCCACCTGCAGGGGCCAGGGCAAGAACCGCAGGCAGTGTGGAGAACCCTGCCTAGGTTATGTAGGCTCTGGGGAATGCAGGGCTCCTGGGGATGGGCGGGGGTCCCCCCAGATCCTAGAAGGGATCCCTGCCACAGAGGAGTGAAGGGACCATGGCTCTCTGAGGAGTCCCATCTCCATATCCTAGAGCACACTTATGCTGAATGAATGAATGAGTGAATGAGGCTGAGAGAGAAGCCAGCACACACTTGAGGTGAGGGAAGGGTGATAACTAAAGTGGACTGAGAAAACCTGGCATCTTGATATGCTGCCTTGAGTAAAAACTAAACTCAGCCCATCTAACTGCAGAATTTAAAAAACAAACCAACAGATTTAAGGAAATTAAGCTTTCTGCTTCCCTAAACCCATGTGTTATGACAATTTAGAGCACCCAGAGCTACCAGGCCAGGCTTCACTCTACCTTGGCCTTCTTCCTACAGAAAACCTTCGCTGGAGTTCCATCCTGGGGATCTGCCCCTTGCTTCTATGTGGGGCCAGTTTAGGAAACGCCCCGTGGGAGCTTGGCACATCATCCCTCAGGTAAGGACCACATACATGACCCATTTTGCTTAGAATTTAGCACCAGGGGCCGGGCGCGGTGGCTCAAGCCTGTAATCCCAGCACTTTGGGAGGCCGAGACGGGCGGATCACGAGGTCAGGAGATGGAGACCATCCTGGCTAACATGGTGAAACCCCGTCTCTACTAAAAAATACAAAAAACTAGCTGGGCGAGGTGGCGGGCGCCTGTAGTTCCAGCTACTCGGGAAGCTGAGGCAGGAGAATGGCGTAAACCCGGGAGGCGGAGCTTGCAGTGAGCTGAGATCCGGCCACTGCACCCCAGCCTGGATGACAGAGCGAGACTCCATCTCAAAAAAAAAAGAATTTAGCACCAGGAAGACATTTGTCAATTCTTTAGAACCAGCATGTTTCAGCTGGCACGGAGGATCCACCGTGTTGCTGCAATGATGAGAACATTCTCACCTGTGCTGCCCAACACAGTAGCTGGCAGCCACATGTGGCTAGTGACAAACTGAATTTTGAATTGTGTTTAATTTAAATAATCAGTACATTTCTTACCTATACTATCCAGCAGCTTTGCTCTAAAAGTAGTGTGCAAACAAGGCACTGTAATTAGCCTTGATTTTTGATAGACTTCTTCCCTCTCACCAGGAGGCCTAATGGCCTTAGTGCAGCCTTACTTTCTATTCTAAGCCTCTTCTAGCCCCTTTCTAAATCAGCAGGTCATACATCCCAAAGAGACAGAATGACCTGCGGGAATCAGCACTGATCTCCAGGCAGGGCTAGAAAAGGACATGCTGGGATGAGGCCACTCACACTCCACTTAAAGGGATCCCAAGCCAGGAACCAGCCTGTGAAGGTGGGGGGCTCGTATCCCTGCTTCACCACAATGATGGGGGTCTCGGGGTCACGCCCGCTGGGATGGGTCTTGAGGTATTCCTGCGCGGTGATGGCTGCAGCCTTCTTCTCCTCCTCATTGGCATGTTTCCCAATCCAGAAGAAGACCTATTGAGAAATCCAGGAGATCAGTCCGTCCTTCCTGTCCTCCCTGGCCCACAGGGCTCTGCCTCAGTTGTCCAACAGTGAAGCCCTGACTTTGACCCTGTCTCTACCACTACCAGCCAAATGACCTAGGGCAGGCACCATCTGGCCTTGAATTTGTATCTGCGAAATTAGGAGGTTGGACAGATGCCTTGTACTTGGATATTCTGCAAATGTGTGTCCCCCAGACTGTCCAAAGCCCAGGATTATCAAAAACACTCCTGCTCTCATGTGAAATAAATAGGACTTTGGGAGAGAATATGCTCTTCCCTGCAGCCTCTCTTGAGCACGTTACTCCCCACCTTCCTTCTTTCTTACACTTCTGGTGTTCATACCATTTCCAGGGAGAAATTATGTGAGGACCAATAAAATGTTGACACTTACCTAACCTTAAAGCCACTCTTTCTTGGCCCTGGGGATTGAGGTGGCTGGGAAGAGGGGTCCCCAGGCCCTTGGTCCTACCTGGTCCCAGACATCTAGTAGGAACACGTCATCCTCTTCCAAGTCATCCTGATTGAAGTCAGGGATCTCTGTGGCCAGGAAGCGCCCAGTCTGGTTGGAACATTCAAAGAGCCGGGGGGTGATGACCAGGTTTTCTTCCTGTAGTCTGCAGGATTTGAGAGAAGATTGTACTGGCAGAAGGAAGGTATGACAAAAGGAGATTGAGGACAGAACTCTGAGGAAGGGAGTGTGGCATGGAAAGGTCATTTCCAGCAAAATGCTCTGTCTTCTGATTGATAAAAGGGTCCCCTCTAATTCCAGGAGTGCTCTGAGGGAGAAATTGTCACTGCTTTCTGGACATGCATTCCAGTGGCTTTTGCAGAGCCTTGTTAGGAAGTTCTTCCTGATATCTTCCCTCCATCCCTCCTGCTGCTACTACAGTACATGCCCTTTTGCTTTTGAACTAGGGACCAGTGGATCATGGATATTCTCTAGAAAAACCATTTGAGCCAGGCACAGTGCCCCACGCCTGTCATCCTAGCACTTTGGGAGGCTGAGGCAGGTGGATCACCTGAGGTCAGGAGTTCGAGACCAGCCTGGCCAACATGGTAAAACCCCGCCTCTACTAAAATACAAAAATTGACCAGGCATGTTGGCAGGTGCCTGTAATCCCAGCTACCCAGGAGGCTGCAGCATGAGAATTGCTGAAACCTGGGAGGTGGAGGCAGAGGCTGCAGTGAGCCGAGATTGCGCCACTGCATTCCAGCCTGGGTGACAGAACGAGACTCTGTCACAAAAACAAAACAAAACCATTTGAAAGAGGGCTTGTAGCTGGTGCCCCTCAGCATCCCAGGCCTGTGTCAGGACCTAAAGGCAGGCTGGCCTCTGGCATCTTCTTACTGAAAGGCAAACCTCTAGCACTGCCCCTCGCTTTGAGCTGCCTCCTATGGCCAGGAATTCCCTTTGCCAAGGAAATACCCCACTAGGTCCCAGGCATACTGTAGTGAGCAGCACAGACACAGCCCCTGACCAAGAGGCTCCAAGGGCATGGGCTGCCCTTGATTCATCTTGTATCCCTGGGGGCCTGGCACAGGGCCTGACACACAGTGTCCTTAGTCCATGCCTGCTGTAGGTTCTGAGTGTGGGGATGGAGACGGTGGGAGGCTCCCCCACCTTGGTAACCTGGAGGCAGAGGGACCTGAGAGTTACCTCTTGGTGTTGGCATAGGGGGCCTTCCCGCCCAGGGCCATCCAGAAGTTGGCTGGCTCCTGCCCTTCCACCACCACTTGCTTCTCCGTCCGGGAGATGGTGTCAGCAACCATCTTGGCCATCTCCCGCTCGTCTCCGCTACAGCCCTAGGAAAAAAAAGGGTTGGCCAATTTCTAGTGCCACCCCTACCTCCACCCTCCTACCACATTCACTACCCAGAGTTCCAGGGTCTAAGAGGGCTCTCCTGGGTCAGGACTCTGTGTATACAGGCCACACGGGGACAATTACATGCTCTTCTCTGTCCTTGACACTCCAAAGAATAGAAGAAACTAGAGAGTATTTTGAAGGGTCAAGAGGGACTCCAAGAGGCTATGCATTCTTCTTACAGAGATCAAAGGAGAGGCAGTGACAGGCTCAGGATAGTGAGAGAGAGCCCAAGACATAAAGACAGACCAACACAGGGACAGATGGAGGTGGCCAGAGAAACAGAACAAGAGAGACTGACTCAGAGAGGCAGAGAATCTGAGGATGGTGATTGACGAGGCAGAAAGATAGACCCAGAGCTACTGAGGAGGGAGAGACTGGGCTCCAGAGGTGGCTGAGAACCGAGCAGGCACAACTTAGTTGGCCAGGGGTTCCTGCCCTCACCTAGGGGCTGCTGTGAAACTGGGGGACTGCCAGGACCCACTTGGGGATGGGGAGACCTCTAGGCCCTGAACACACCTTCCCACACCATAGGTAGCAGCAGGACTGGGTCTTGAGGACAAAGACATCATTGGAATTGAGGAAATTGGCCCGCGCTGGGACCTCAAAGGCCTTTGTGTTGTTGGCGCCCGTTCCCTGGACCTGGAACAGTCGTGTGGAGGGCGCAGGCTCCAAGTTGTTAGCTCGGGAGGTGCCTCCCTGCAGGTGAGGGGAGAAGGCAGGGAGAGAGAGTCAGGAGTCACATAGTAAAGAAGATGATGAAGGAACAGAGGGGCACAAAGAGAACCAGAGAGGGACAGGGTAGGGCGGGGCGGCTTGCCCCTGTAGCTCCTCTGATGCTCTGTCACCAGGTCTTTCTAAAACATTGTTTGCATCATGGCGCTTCTCTGCTGAAAAACATTCAGTGACTCCCCCTTGCTTATAGCCTAAAACCCAGCTCCTCAACTTTGCCTTTGAAGGCCGCACATGACGAAGATGCAAACTGCCTTTGCAGACACTGCTGCCATCAAACCCTCCAGCTTAGCTCTGCCAGGCTTTTTTTTTTTTTTTGAGATGGAGTTTTGGTTTTGTTGCCCAGGCTGGAGTGCAATGGCACTATCTCAGCTCACTGCACCCTTCGCCTCCCGGGTTCAAGCAATTCTGCCTCAGCCTCCTGGGTCGCTGGGATTATAGGCGCCCACCACCATGCCTGGCTAATTTTTGTATTTTTAGTAGAGACAGGGTTTCTCCATGTTGGTCAGGCTGGTCTGGAACTCACGACTTCAGGTGATCCGCCCACCTCGGCCTCCCAAAGTGCTGGGATTACAGACGTGAGCCACAGCGCCTAGCCTTTTATTTATTTATTTTTTTCTTGAGACTGAGTTTTGCTCTGTTGCCCAGGCTGGAGTGCAATGGTGTGATCCTGACTCACTGCCTCCCAGGTTCAAGCGATTCTCCTGCCCCAGCCTCCCCAGTAGCTGGGATTATAGGCACGCACCACCACATTCAGCTAATTTTTGTACTTTTAGTAGAGACAGGGTTTCACCACGTTGGCCAGGCTGGTCTTGAACTCCTGACCTCAGGTGATCCACCTGCCTCCACCTCCCAAAGTGCGGGATTACAGGCGTGAACCACCACACCTGGCCAGTTCCACCAGGCTTCTGATGTTCCCTACAGAGCCTCTCCCCCGGGCCTTTGTCCTTGCTGTGCCCCCTGCATTGTGTGCCCTCATTTTACCTCTGCTAAACTCTTCAACTCTGACCCAAATGTCAAGACAAATGTCTCCTCTAAATCCCCTCCTGCCCATAAACTCTATGACATTCCAAGATTATTATACTCCGGCTCCTCTTTTGACTCAACTTTTACCTCTGGCATTTCTTTTTTTTTTTTGAGACAGAGTCTCTCTCTGTTGCCCAGGCTGGAGTGCAGTGGCACAGTCTCAGCTCACTGCAATCTCTGCCTCCCAGGTTCAAGTGATTCTTCTGCCTCAGCCTCCCGAGTAGCTGGGACTACAGGCGCACGCCACCACGCCCAGCTAATTTTTGTATTTTTAGTAGAGACGGGGTTTTGCCCTATTGGTCAAGCTGGTCTCAAACTCCTGACCTCGTGATCCGCCCGCCTCGGCCTCCCAAAGTGTTGGGATTACAGGCGTGAGCCACTGTGCCTGGCCTACTTCTTGCATTTAACCACATGGTTCCTTAGACTGTTGGTTCACTGCTAATATGTCCTCTCCCAACAAGATGGCGAACTGTATTAGCATGCCATTCTTCTCCTTGCTTGGGGAATTGCAAAGGACTGTGTGTTTAAGGCACTCAATAGGCAGATTATTGCTTAAATGATTGCATGAGATGTCTGTTTCATTATGTTGGAAGGCACCAATGCAGTTTTCACAGGTGCATCATTTAAGCAAATCTAGCCAAAATATCTTCCTTTTTTATGTAAAGGATTCAAGGAGTTGGGGTGTAGAGGGCAGGCAGTACTTACACATGGTGAATGTGCATTACATGTTTTTGTTTTGTTTTGTTTTCTTGAGATGGAATTTCATTCTTGTTGCCCAGGCTGGAGTGCAGTGGCACAGTCTCAGCTCACTGCAACATCTGCCTCCTGGTTTCAAGCAACTCTCCTGCCTCAGCCTCCCAAGTGGCTGGGATTACAGGCATGTACCACCATGCCCAGCTACTTTTTGTATTTAGTAGAGATGGGGTTTCGCCATGCTGGTTGGGCTGGTCTTGAACTACTGACCTCAGGTGATCCACCCACTTCAGCCTCCCAAAGTACTGGGATTACAGGTGTGAGCCACCACACCCGGCCTTTTTTTTTTTTTTTTTTTTTTTTTAAAGACGGAGTCTCGCTCTGTTGCCTAGGCTGGAATGCAATGGCACGATCTCAGTTCACTGCAACCTCCTCCTCCCAGGTTCAAGAGATTCTTCTGCCTCAGCCTCCTGAGTAGCTGAGATTACAGGCACCCACCATCATGCCTGGCTAATTTTTTGTATTTTTGTAGAGACGGGTTTCACCATGTTGGCCAGGCTGGTCTTGAACTCCTGACCTCAGGTGATCTACCCACCTCAGACTCCAAAGTGCTGGGATTACAGACATGAGCCACTATGCCCGGCCCAATTACATGTATTTCTAAAGTAACCAAATGGGTTATTTCTATTACCAGTTCCACATAGGTGATAGAACCTCCAGGGTAGTCTCCTATGAAGAATGGGCTTCACCCTAAGCCCTGCTCCCACCACCCATCCACTTCCCCATCTCCTGGATGCCTGTCTTGCCACAATGGGTACTGCCAGGCACCTCAGTTCAGCAGCCACACCTGGTATACCACCATGCGTCCCTTGAAGATGGACATAAGATGAGGCGGCTCCTTGCCCATTGGGACCCGGATCTGGACTGGTTCACCATTGTACTTCTGGTCCAGGATGACGGCTTGATAAGCTGATGCTGTAATTTCATCTTGGCTGGCCTGGCTGCCCTGGGAATGAGCAGGAGGGAGTGAATGGGATAGGGTCAGCCCCCAATTCTGACCCCATCCTCAGCCTCAGCAACAACTCCATCCCCAAGTCTGACCTGGTCCTAAATCCAATTTTCTTCCCCACCAAACTCCACTGTGAAACAGCCAAAACCCCAATCTGACCCAGACCTCAGTTCTGATCTCAACCTCAAACCTAATTCTTTCGCAGACCCAGCCCAGCCCTGACCTACCTGCAACCCTAGCTTTAACCCCAAACCTCCTCCTTTCCTTACTGCTCCTTCTTCAGGGAAGCATCACAGGCACCACACCACTCACTCCTAGACACACTCCCTGCTCCCTCACATCTAGACACAGAATCCCACGGGCAGAGCAAGTGATAAGAATGTGCAGAAGGCAATGAAAATTGGAAGGGAGACTCAGAACCAAATGGAAAAGCGCTGTGAATGGGGGTACTAGCTGGACCTCATAGCCAAAGCAGTCCTTCTTGAAGCGGTGAGATCCCCATCCCCAGAGGTATTCAACCCAAGGGTGATGGCCACTTAGCAGGAGTATGTACAAGGTGGAGCTAAGCCGGCTATGCTCTGGGTGGGACGTGGCGGGACCTGACCTGCCAGATGTAGAGCAGGTAGTGCTGCTTGTTTCCGATGAGGTAGGTGTAGAGCAGCAGGTAGCAGTCACCCCCATAGAAGTGGCCTAGCCACTTGGAATCCACAGGTACCAGCTCTAGGTTCTCAATGCGCCACACCTAGGGCCAGTATCAGGCCAGGGTGAGGTCCGGGAACAGGTTCCACCATCCCTGCTCCACCCAGCACGGGCCTCTCTGCCCTCACATACCTGCACTTCCCCACTCCCATCATCTACCATCTTCTGCTGGGCAGCCACCTGAGGCTTGACATGCATGGATGTGGCATCAAACTTCACCTGTTCCACTTTGGCTAGAGTAGGGGAAATCATGACACCAATTGTCACCAGCTGAGGCCCCCCAGGTCCTCACAACAGCCCTGAATGGTGGCTACAATTCTTAGACCCATTTTCAGATGAGGAAACCGAAGCAAGAGAGATTCAGTAGCTTACCTGGTTGCACAGAATGTGGCAGAGCTACAGTAGAGAACCATATCTCCCTCCCTCTAAAACTCCTGCTTCACCAGTGCCTCCCAAGGAGCCAAGAGAGGCATAAGAGCAAGGCTTTAGCTTTGTTGATCTACATCCTGACCCCTGCAGCATTCAGACTTCAAGCCTTGACCTTGTCTCCCAGCTCAATAGGGAGCTCTGCAATGATGGAGGCTGTACACTATTATTTCTCCTCTCCTAGGTGCCGGGCACCGAGCTTGCCCTCAGCAAATACTGGCGGGTAAGAGACTGAGCTGTTTGGTTTCCAGGGAGGCCCAACCCCTTTCCAAATGAAACATCACATCACTCTCAGCTCCCTTTTTTTTTTTTTTTTTTTTTTTTTTTGAGACGGAGTTTCACTCTTGTTGCCCAGGCTGGAGTGCAATGGCACGATCTTGGTTCACTGCAACATCCACCTCCCAAATTCAAGCGATTCTCCTGCCTCAGCCTCCTGAGTAGCTGGGGTTACAGGCATGCACCACCATGCTTGGCTAATTTTTTTTTTTCAGTACAGACCGGGTTTCACCATGTTAGGCTAGTCTCGAACTCCTGACCTCAGGTGGTCCACCCGCCTCAGCCACCCAAAGTGCTGGGAATACAGGCATGTGCCACCACGACCAGCCCTCTCGGCTCCCTTTTTGTGACAACTAGAGTTTGTCCATGTCTCCACCCGCTAGGATAAACCCAGAGCCGATGTAAAAGTCTTCGTGGAAGATGCATGTCAGGGAAGGAGGGTGGGTGGTGGACCAAGTGGCTCTCCTGGCCCAGCTCCTGGATCCTGGTTCCCTCACTGCCCCATTACTGGCCCTCACCCACGGAGCCCACAGTGTGGGTTTTGCCCAGGCCTGAAGTCCGATTGGATGCTGTCCACTTCTGGAATAGCTGCTGAAAGACGGCCGACTCAGCCCCATCATTCTGCACCTCCACCTGTGTGCTTGGTGGGTACTGCTTGGCTTTGATGAAGTTCTGGGAAGAGAAAGGGCTGGAAGCTATGCCCCTCCCCTAGTACCCACTCCCAGTGCAAGCCAAAACCTGGCTCTAACCTAACCAGATCCACCATCAGATCTACCCCTGGCACCAAAACTGAACCCAAACCCAATCCCAATGCTAATCCCCAACCTAACCCTACTCTGACCCCCAGCATCAAGGTCAAATCTAATACTGCCTGAAACCTAATACTGGCCTCAAGACTCACTCTGACCTCAACCTCAAATCTAATACCCAAACACAACTCTGACCCCAATCCCAAAGCCAAATCTAACTCCTAAGGTGACCCTACCTCAATGCTAATCCTAATGCCCAGTCCCCAATCCAACACTGGCACTGGCCCCAAGCCAGTTAGGGTTATGGCTCCAGCCCCAGCAATGACCCCAAACTCTGACTTGGTCCTGGTCTGAGCTGACCCAATCCCCTTCTGTAGGAAGCCAGCCTCCTTCCATTTCTCTTTCCCTTCTCTAAACTCAGCTCAGGTGCAGGGAGTTGAGAGCCCATATCCTGAGGTGGCCCCAGGGTTGTCTGGTGGTTGACTCCCTGGTGTGCAGAGAACCCCCAAGATGACTACAGAATGGCCCCTCAGGCCCCTCCCATTGGTCCGTGCCCAGCCCTCATCCTGCCGCTCCCAGCCTTCCCTGCCTCTGCCTTGGCGCTATGCCCTGGTCTGAGCCTGCCTGCCCACCCCATGCAGCTATCTGCTCTCTCCCTCCCATCACTCTGCCCTCCTCCTGGATCCCCACCCCTACCAGCGCATGGCTCATGGCTCCCTTCTTCTCTTGCTCATTGGCTTTCTTCCCCTTCCATACGTAGATCTTCAGGCCCCCCTGGTCCAGGATGTAACAGTCCTAGAGTCGGGAGAGGTAAGAGTCTGATGGAGCTGGAAGTGCTGGACTGGGACAGCCTCACACACAAAAAGAGTCTCTCCCTCCCATGCCCACCCCAAGCCCCCTGGAATTTTTCTGGCCTGAGGGAGAGGGGGCCAGGCTGCAGTGGGCTGGGGGGTCTCCAGACCCTCTCACATCGTGACTGAGCAGGTCCTGCGTCAGTGGCCGTGTGGCGACTTCCCTCACCACCAGATTCCCCTCAGCGTCAGACACACTGCAGGACAGAAGCAAGGCATAGATGGAGAGGGGCCCCAAGCCCCTCAGCCAGGGCACCTGCTCCCAGGGAGTCCCCAGCACCCAGGAAGACCCCACTGGGCACTTACTGGTACAGTTTGAGTGCAGCCTTGAGTGCCGGCTCCACCACTGTGTCGGGCACAGCTGCCTTCAGCTCCCCGCGCTTGCCCAGCACATGGTTCATCACCTCCATCAGCTTCGGGGATGCCGATTCATTCTCTCCGTCCACCACGCCTACATAGGTGCGCCCTCCCCGCTCCTGGTCTCGGATCTCTTTGGCCAGAGTCATGCCCTGCAGGAACGCCCCTGGTGACCCATCGGGAGTAGTAGGGGAACAAGGCAGTGTCTGCCACCCCACACCCTGCCAGGCAAGCCCAGACCACCTACAGCAGCAGCCACAGGGGTTGAGACCCCTGCCCTGCTTTTCCCTGTCGGAGGGGTCAAGCTTTTAAGGCATGTAAGGAAACCAGGGAGAAGGCAGCTGGGAAAGCAGGTTTCCCCACCGTCAGGAAGGTGCTCAAGCAGGCTTGCTGGGCTTTCTGTTCTGACAGTGTGGGAAATGTATGCTTAGACGTCACAGTTCCAGACAACAGCTGAGCCCCAAGGATCACAGTACTCAATCTCTTCCGCTGGGTGCGGTGGCTCACACCTGTAATCCCAACACTCTGGGAGGCCGAGGCGGATGGATCACCTGAGGTCAAGAGTTCAAGACCAGCCTGGCCATGGTGAAACCCCGTCTCTACTAAAAACACAAAAAAATTAGCTGGGCATGGTAGTGCGTGCCTATAATCCCAGCTACTCAGGAGGCTGAGGCAAGAGAATCACTTGAACCCAGAAGGTGGAGGTTTCAGTGAGCTGAGATCATGCCATTGCACTCCAGCCTGGGCAAAAAGAGCAAAACTGCATCTCAAAAAAAAAAAAAAAAAATCTCTTTGCCCCCAAACATGCTTGCAGCCTCACAGTGCACACCCAGCGTCAATGTGCCGTGAGTATAAACACACATATGCCCATGCCCATTTCATTCACCACTGGATCACCAAGGCTTAGCACAGGCTCTGCCACACTGTAGAGACTCATTCAAGCCGGGCGCGGTGGCTCAAGCCTGTAATCCCAGCACTTTGGGAGGCTGAGGCGGGTGGATCACGAGGTCAGGAGATCGAGACCATCCTGGCTAACATGGTGAAACCCCGTCTCTACTAAAAATACAAAAAACTAGCCGGGCGAGGTGGCGGGCGCCTGTAGTCCCAGCTACTCGGAGGCTGAGGCAGGAGAATGGCGTGAACCTGGGAGGCGGAGCTTGCAGTGAGCCGAGATCGTGCCACTGCACTCCAGCCTGGGTGACACAGCGCGAGACTCCGTCTCAAAAAAAAAAAAAAAAAAAGAGACTCATTCTATCTGAGTGGATTGACCACAAGTTCTCACACACTAACTCCAACATGCACACCTGCCCCAAACACATGGAGAGTGATCCACCTTCAAACACACTGTCCCCAATAGTCAGTGGGGAGAGGCCTGGGGAAAGGAGCAGGTGGGGGCAGTCGAGGATTTGAGAGGGAGGTGTGGTACATGGGAAGGTTTACCCTGAGTCTCTCCATGCGGTTACTTTCAGGTCCATTCCACTGGATGATAAGCTTCCCGAGGTCCAGGAGGAAAACATCCCCTCGGTTGAAACTCTTCCAGGACATCTCTACCTAGGGAGCCATGGGGGAAGTGCAGACCCCACTCAGAGCTCGCCTATCATCCATCATCTTGGCCACCCCTCCTTGCCCCTCACCCCTCCTCAGCCCCTGCCCTCCGCCCTGGGCCTCACAGCCCTGGCCGATGCTCCAGTGGGGCCTGCCTACCTCTCCAGCTACCACGTTCCTCTTGCCCTTGACATGCAGCAGCCTCCGGACATCATAGGAGTTGGTCTCCACGTGATTCATGCCAGAAGCCACGCCTCCTTTCCGGATCCTGAGAAGAGGTGAGCAGACCCAGGGGAGTGGGCTGGGAGGTGTGCCTGGCCCCTGTTCTCCCAGGTCCTGGCTGCCACACTGAGGTCACCTGAGGGCCAGGCTGGGAGTAGGCGAGGTGAATGAGGTGCTGAGGATGCAAACTTTAGGGAGTCACTCACTGTCAGGTCCTGAAAGTGCAAGGTTGGCCTGTGGCATGCCCTTGAACCACCCTGACAGTCAGAGCAACCTTAAACTCTGCACCCTAGATCTTCACTCATCTCGCCATTGTCCCTGCCCTGTGGAGAGGCCTGCAAAGAAGGGTCATGGTATATGAAGAGTAGGAAATGTGTTAATAGGCCAGGTGCGGTGACTCCTGCCTATAATCCCAGCACTTTGGGAAGCCGAGGTGGGCAGATCATTTGAGGTCAGGAGTTCCAGACCAGCCTGGCCAACATGGTGAAACCCTGTCTCTACTAAAAATACAAGTTAGCTGGGCATGGTGGCAGGTGCCTGTAATCACAACTACTCAGGAGGCTGAGAAAGAAGAATCGTTTGAACCCCGGGGGCGGAGGTTTGCAGTGAGCCGAGATCACGCCACTGCACTCCAGCCTGGGCGACAAGAGTGAGACTCCATCTCAAAAAAAAAAAAAAAAAAAAGGAAATGTATTAATAAATAGGGACAGAATCCTGAGGACAGGGGATCAAAGTGGAAGAAAAAACAAGAAGGGAGAGGTGCCACTCCAGTGCCCACAGGAATGGACTACTGCTGTAGTGTGGGAAGAGAAGAGCAAGACAAAAAAGAAGAATGGGAACTGTGGCTAATTAGAGAGCCCCCGGCTTGTCCTACAGGTCAGTAACAACTCAGCTCCAGAGTGTGTGTTTTCCTGGGGAAAGCTAAGCTAGAACTTCAACTTGTACAGAAAAGCCAGCAGTCTGGTCTGGGAGTGGTAGCTCATGCCTGTAATCCCAGGACTTTAGGAGGCTGAGGTAGGAGAATCACTTGAGCCCAGGAGTTTGAGACCAGCCTGGGCAACAGAGCAAGACCTTCATCTCTACAAAATATATATATAAAAAAATTAGCTGGGCGTGGTGGCTCAGGCCTGTGGTCCCAGTTACTCAAGAGGCTAAGGTGGGGCCGGGCATGGTGGCTCACACCTATAATCCCAGCACTCTGGGAGGCCGAGGCAGATGGATCACTTGAGGTCAGGAGTTCGAGATCAGCCTGCCTATGGTGAAACCCTGTCTCTACTAAAAATACGAAAATTAGCCAGAGCTGGTGGTGTGCACCTGTAATCCCAGCTACTGGGGAGGCTGAGGCACGAGAATTGCTTGAGCCCAGGAGGCGGAGGTTGCAGTGAGCCAAGACTTTGCCACTGTGCCACTGTACTCCAGCCTGGGCAATAAAGCAAGACTCCATCTGGAAAAAAAAAAGGAAGAAAAAGAAAAGCTGGCAGTCTTGGTTTTTAGTGTGGTAGGCCTGCATTAGAGATGGGGGAGCAGCCATTTGTCTATTGGCCAGAGTTGGGCGATTAGGCACTGAGCTCTCCAGGACATTCAAGTAGGAGCTGATTTACAGAGATTCACAAGAGTTACAGAATTTCAGAACAGCCTCCAGACCAAGGGCAGAGCAGTGGCAGAAATAAGAGTTGGGGAGTGGAAAAGTGAAGGACAATCACCAAAAACTCATGAGGGTCCCCCTCGTGCCTCCCCCCACAGTTCCAGGGTCCCTTCCCCGTCCCAGGTCACCTCCCCCTGCTCCAAGTGTTCTTCCCAGACCCGAACAGGTCTGGGTGTCCCTGCCTCTTCAGCCCCAACCTCTCCATCCCTACCACTCATCCTCATTCCCTCAGCCTGCAGCCCGCCCTCCCTACACAAGGCCTTGCTTGAAGTAGCCTCGGAAGGCCTCGCTCTCGTTGCCCTGGACCTCGCGGTGCTGCACAGCCCGGCCCTTCAGGAAGTCATCCATTTGTGTGGTGTAGATGGCAGCTGCCCCCTGCTCATCCAGGGATGAGTCCTGGCCAATCCAGTAGTGGATGTCATAGGACAGGTTGCTGGCTGTCTTGTGGATCTAGGGAAAAGGTGTCCAGTGTACCCGAGACCCTGGGCTCCCACAGCCCCTCCCACTCTGTGTGACCTCCCACACACGTGCCGTCCAGGACCATGGGGGAGCGTGGCACAGGGCAAGTGCACTAGGCTAGTGGTTAGGGGCCCTGAGTCATGGCCCAGCTCTACCATTGACTCTCCGAGACATGGCTTCTCCTCTCCAGGCCTCACTTGCCTCACCTCAGAAACAACTTGCTTATGCCAGGCACAGTGGCTCACGCCTGTAATCCCAGCACTTTGGGAGGTCAAGGCGGGCGAATCACCAGGAATTCAAGACCAGCCTGGTCAACATGGCAAAACTCTGTCTTTAATAAAAATATAAAAATTAGCCAGGCGGGGTGGCGGGTGCCTATCATCCCAGCCACTCGGGAGGCTGAGACACGAGAATCACTTGAACCCGGGAGGCAGAGGTTGCAGTGAGCCAAGATCGTGCCACTGCACTCCAGCCTGGGCGACAGAGCGAGACTATCTAAAAAATAATAATAATAAATACATAAAATAAAAATTTAAAATGAGTCAATATAAAGAAAAAAATACAAATGTCTTAATAGTACAGGTGGTACCAGGGTGTGGTGAAAATCAAGGTGATATGAAGATGACTACGAGGCTGGGCATGGTGGCTCATGCCTGTAATCCCAGCATTTTGGGAGGCGGAGGCAGGTGGATCACCTGAGGTCAGGAGTTCAAGACCAGCCTAACTAACATGGTGAAACCCTGTCTCTACTAAAAAATACAAAAAAATTAGCTGATTATGATGGCACGTGCCTGTAGTTCAAGCTACTCTCAAGGCTAAGGCAGGAGAATCGCTTGAACGTGGGAAGTGGAGGTTGCAGTGAGGCAAGGTCGCACCACTGCACTCCAACCTGGGCAACAGAGCGAGACTCCATCTGAAAAAAATTTTAAAGAAAGAAGATGACTATGGATTTTGGAAATGTGGACTCAAGTTAGGGTGATATGGCAACAATGCAGAAGTTTCCCCAAGAATGTGAATCCACAGAAATTGGCCTTAGCTGGAAGCCCAGTGTATCAAGGGCAGCAAGAGCCTCTGACCTCTGTAAAGCCACCACAAGGTTGGGCACTTGGGCATACCCAGTAAATTCTGTCTTGGGGTGAAGCCAGGCCAGCTCTCCCCATGGTCCCCAGCCTGTTTCCTCCCTGACACCACAGTGGGTTTTGCTCTCTGCTCAGCCTCCTCCTCTGCCCCTGACTCACAGCCAGGATGATGTAGCAGTCACCATCGAAGAAGCTCCCAAAGGTGCTGGAAGGAACAGGCACCATCTGCATGGCCTAAGGAGAGAAAAGGGGTCAGAGGGGCTTCCCTGGACCACCAGGACCCCTAGGCCTGGGAGGAGGGCCCAGGGTAGGAGGCATCGGAAAAAAAGAGCCGGGCCCTATGAAAGGAGAGAAAAGGAAGAGAGAGGGAAACTGTGTGAGGGGCGGGAGAAGGAAAATCAATGGTGGGAAAGGAAGGGACGAGTGAGGAAGAAGAAGTGGAGAGGAAGGTTGAGAGACAGAGGGAGAAGAAATGGAGAAAGGGAAAGGGAGACCATCTGGGGTGTGGATGATGCGGGAGGTGAGGGGCTGAGCTCTCAGGGGCTGCAGGGCAGGAGCAGAGGAAACTAAGAGAAATCCCAGGCCTCTGCCTTGCCTCCCTCCACCCCAGGCCTGCGAGGCCCCCATGCCCAGACAGGGCCTCACCTCGATCCTCCATATCTGCAGCCCCGGGGTGGTGATGTTGAGAGAGCCTTTGACTTGGGCGCTCAGCTTGGTCATGGTGAGTGAGCCTGGGGGAGAAGGCATTGGGAGCAGGGGCACCCTGAGTTCGGATGCTGCCCTTCCAGTCTGCCCCTAGAGAACTCCCAACAGTGCCAGGAGGTCGCAGGCTCAGGGGCCTAGGGGAGCATAGAGGGTTACTCCTCACTCAGTGACCATTTCTGCTTGTTTAGTACCGAATCCGCAGTGTCTAGCACAGTGACTTTGCTCGATAAAGGAAGAGATGGGGAGGGAAGGAGTGAGGGATGGATGAATGAATGAATGAATGGATGAACAGAGTGAACCCTCCCACTGTGAACCACTCTCTGCCCGCTAAACTGGAAGGAACGCCCCTCCCCAAGCTTTTCTCCTCACGTCAGCCCTTTCTCCATTTTTTTTTTTTTTTCCTTTTCTTTTTGAGATGGAGTCCCGCTCTGTCACACAGGCTGGAGTGCAGTATCGTGATCTCAGCTCACTGCAATCTCTGCCTCCCAGGTTCAAGTGATTCTCCTGCCTCAGCCTCCCGCATAGCTGGGATTACAGGCGTGAGCCACCGTGCCCAACCAGCCCTTTCTGCTTGGACCTGTAGCTGTGTTCACTCCAGCTGCTCATGAGCCTCACCTGGGGAGCTTCTGAACGTGCTGATGCTCCAGGCTCTGGCGGCATCCCTGGGGATTCTGATTTAATTAGGCCAGGGTGGGACTGGGCATGGGTGCTTTGTTTTCTGCCTTTTGGGAGGTGGAGCATGGGTGCTTTTAAAACTCTCCAGTGATTCTGATATGAGCCAGGGCAGACAGCCACTTGTGCCCAGTTATTCTCCTCCCTAGTTTTAAGGCTCCTCCTCACCAGGCCAGAGGCCACCCCAATCTCCATGGAGCCTATCACCCAGCCTGGCAGGGAGCTGCCCTCCATGAATGCTCCTTGAACTGATTAATGAATGAAAGGGCATGTGGCCGACAGGTCAGGCCTCCACTCGCTGACAGCCTGAAATCTCACTATCTAATCTCTCCTTGCACCTTGACTTTGAGTCACCTCTTAGTGACTTGGCCTTTTAGTACTTAGAAACTCCCTTTTCTGAGCCCTGAGGAGTGGCTGCTGCTTCCCTGGCATTCTAGAGTTTGAGGTAAGGCCCTGCCCAATCTCTTGATCAGTGCCTCCTCTGGCTGATCATAAGCAGCTTGCTGTGTATCTGTAGGAGCCCCTTGGGCTTGGGTCCCGTCTGATGGCCTGTTGGCTATGGCCTTCTCCATCAGGCAACCATGATATCCTCCATCAGGTATTTTTCAACCCACCAAGTCCCCAGGGCTCCCAGGATTCCTGGTCCAGCAGAATCAAGCTGGGTATAAAGGAGGAGACCATTTTCTGTTTCATTTCTATCATCACCTTTGTCTCTGTCCCCTCCTTTCATCCATCTATCTATCTATCTATCTATCTATCTATCTATCTATCTATCTATCTATCTATCTATCTACCTATCTTTTTGAGAAGGAGTTTCACTCTTGTTGCCCAGGCTGGAGTGCAGGGGCGCTATCTCGGCTCACTGCAACCTCCGCCTTCCAGGTTCAAGTGACTCTCCTGCCTCAGCCTCCCGAGTAGCTGGGATTACAGGCGCAAGCCACAAAGCCCAGCTAATTTTTGTATTTTTAGTAGAGACAGGGTTTCACCATGTTGGCCAGGCTGGTCTTGAACTCCTGACCTCAGGTGATCCACCCACCTCAGCCTCATAAAGTGCTGGGATTACACGCATGAGCCACCTTGCCCGGCCCCGGCCCCCTTTTTCTTTGACACTCACTAGCTGTATGAACGTGGACTTCCCTTCTTCATCTATGAGCTGAGGGAGTCAACTTAGGGGGTCAACTAAATTGATGATCTCTAAAGTCTCACCCAGGGACATGCTGATTCCAGGGGTAACTGGCAGCAAGAGAAATAGAGGGTGGACATAAGGAGGCACTTCTTGCTCATCAGAGGGGGGATTCAGGGCAGCAGGGACTTGAAAAAACCAGTGCTCCCCCTCCCCAGAGAGAAATCAGGATTGGCCAGCCCCTACAGGCCAAAGGTGGGCAAGGGGACTCAGGAGTGGCAGCTCTGAGACGTGGCCCCCCTACCTGGTGTATACCCTCCAGCTGCTCCTGCCCTGTACCCATGGTTGGTCAGAACAGATGCTTCTCCTCCACCCCTTGGTAGGGCCTCCTCCTCACTTCTCCTGTCTTCCCTGAACTGCCAGGAAGACCAGGGCCTCTCACTTCCCCCAACCCTGCCACCATGGGCCCTTGTTTGGATTTGAGTTGTCTCCTCCTTCAGCCTGAATTCACTGGCTTCCTCAACTCCTGGTACTTTCCCTTCTGTGTCCCCAGACCAGGGAAGGGGACCGTCACCCCAAGACCCCAACACCAGCCATCTGTGCAGCATCCTGGACTCCTTTCGCTTCTGCCCTTCTGTCCACCTAAACTCCCTTGAGTCTCCCCACTACACACAGCCCCCTGGCCCCTCTCTGCTGGCACTCTGCCCTCTAGAAATGCCACGCTGCCAGCAGGCCCCACCCCCATGCTGCCTCTCACCCCACGCCTGCTCGCACTGCTCCCACATGGAACGTTCTCCCCACCTTTCCCATACTAACATGCTCTTCTAGACTCAAGTTAGATCTCATTTCTTCCAGGAGACCTTCCCAGAATCCTCAGGCTGGACAAGGAGCCCCTCGGCATCCTGGACTGTCCCCTCTCTTGACCTCCTGACCACATGGTGATGAAAGAACCTGTTTGTAAGTTTGAGGTCCCTGAGCTCCAAGACCTAGATATGTTTGTCTTTGTAGCCCCCAGCTCCTAGCACATAGTAGGTGCTCAACAAATACTCATGATGCTGAAAGGCTGAACTGTGGGATGGAAGGAGGACCCTCCCAGGGCATTGGAGGGGTTTGGGCTCCTACTGTCTGCAGGCCATCCAGGCCATCTTGTGTTTCTTTCTTTTTTTTTTTTTTTTTTTTTGAGACAGAGTCTCACTCTGTTGCCCAGGCTGGAGTGCAATGGTGCAATCCTGGCTCACTGTTATCTCTGCCTCTGGGTTCAAGCGATTTTCGTGCCTCAGCCTCCTGGGTAGCTGGGACTATAGGTGTGCGCCACCACACCCGGCTAATTATGTATTTTTAGTAGAAACTGGGTTTCGCTATGTTGGTCAGGTTGGTCTTAAACTCCTGACCTCAAGTGATCCACCCACCTCAGCCTCCCAAAGTGCTGGGATTCCAGGCATGAGCCGCTGCGCCCAGCCCACCTTGACTTTCTTATCTGAGCCCTGTTGTACTCGAGGTGTGGCTCTGTTGTATGTGGGGTGCTGCCATGGCCCCTAGTTCCCAGTGGTGCAGCTCTGAGCTAGACAGGAATGTGGTGGGGCAGTGAAGGTAAAGTCCCACCCCTCAGACAAAAGACATCCTCCTGCTTCCCAGGCTTGTGATAGCAGAGGGAATAGACACCCACCCAAACCCTCCAGCCCAAAGGCTCTGCCCCTCAGTGGCCTGCAGGAGGCCCCAGCAGATGATGTCCCAAGAAGACAGTAGCCAGTGTGTCCTCAGAGCCTGGTCTGCACCTGGCCCCCATCCCTAGTTCTGCTAAATGGGCCCACAGTGGCTGGGGAGGCTGATGGGGCAGCTCCAGGTAGAGGGAAGATGGGGCAGAGGTGCATGCTCAGGTGTCCCGGCATGGCCCAGGACCTAAGGCCCTGCCACCTTTAGCCCCTTGCCTCTGCCTTTGCCTCTGTCTTTGCCCATTCAATTTCTCATGGCTGTTGCTCATATGCTACGAGTGAGGAGGCAGGGCCCTGAGGTCCCAGGAGTGTCAGAGGAATGGTGACACAAAGGATAAAACACTCCAGATGAAGAAGAAATGGGCAAAGAGATGAGCTGGTGGGGAGGGGGCTCGGGGAGTGAGGTCAGGGAGACTAACTAGTCCCGGTCTGCCCAGGACTGTCCTGGTTTTAACTCTAGAAGTTCCAGGGCAATTGGGATGGTGACACCCAAAGTGCGATGGGGCTAGCCACAGATAGGAGACTGAGAGAGCCATTGCCTGGGGCAGGGCCAGCAAAAGTCTCTCCCTGGAGGCCCAGGACAGACACGCGGGGCTCCCAGCACTTCTCACACTATCCAGAGTGCCAAGCCTCCCTCTTGAGCCCATACCAAGGTGCTCCAGGAGGCCCCAAGTTGCCTGAGAAAAGCAGAGGACCCCATCCCCTCACACCATCTAAGGTCTCCATGTGTTCCCACCAGGTTGCCTTACCTGTCTTGGGGAGGCAGCTGCCACCTGGGAGATCTCAGGGAATTGTGGCAAGCTGGCTGCAGAAGAGCGACCTTTGTCCCCACCCCCACCCCCTAGGAACTGCCTTCACCATATAAGGGAAGATAGGGCCCCAGAGAGGTGAGGGGGTGGGGAGGCAGGTGCTGCCAGGTCCCTGGAGCCCAGAGCCCTTGACAGCCTGACAACGAGAGCTGATGTGCCCCACCCTTGGCGTTTTTTTTTTTTAAGCCTCACTCTGTCATCAGGCTGGAGTGCAGTGGTGCGAACTCGACTCACTGCAACCTCTGCCTCCCAAGTCCAGGTGATTCTCCTGCCTCAGCTTCCCAAGTAACTGGGACTACAGATATGTGCCACCATGCCTGGTTAATTTTTGTATATTTAGCAGGTCGGGTTTCACCATGTTGGCCAGGCTGGTCTTGAACTCCTGACCTCAAATGATCCAGCCGCCTAGACCTCCCAAAGTACTGGGATTACAGGTGTGAGCCACTGCGCCCAGCCCCTCCCTTGGCTTCTGAGTGAGCAAGGGATGGGGTGCTTTTCTGCCCAAAGCCCAGGACCTCACCACAGGCAGACAGCACTGTCCAGGCAAGGTCAGCAGCGCCTGAACTTTCCCCTTACCAACCAAGAGAAGGAGGCTCAGCTGTCCTCCCACCTTCCCTGGGGTGAATGGTTCACAGGGAAGGAGAGGCAGGACCCTGGGGTTCCAGAAGCCCCAAACCCAGGGATGCAGGGGCTCATACTCAGGGCCCCTCCAGAACAGATGGGAGGTCTCTTAGAGGTCTCTTCTCAGCATGACCCTCACTTAGCAAGTGCCCCCGTCAGCACAACTGCTCTTCCTCTCCACCGCCAGAGGCACTGGCTCCACCTGGAGTGTTTTTTTTGTTTTGTTTTGTTTTTTTGTTTCTGTTTTTGTTTTTGTTTTTCTGAGATGGAGTCTCTCTCTGTCACCCAGGCTGGAGTGCAGTGGCATGATCTCGTCTTACTGCATCCTCCGCCTCCCGGGTTCAAGTGATTCTCCTGCCTCAGCCTCCCGAGTAGCTGGGATTACAGCCACCCACCACCACACCTGGCTAATTTTTGTATTTTTAGTAGAGACGCGGTTTCACCATGTTGGCCAGGCTGGTCTTGAACTCCTGACCTCGTGATCTGCCCACCTTGGCCTCCCAAAGTGCTGGGGTTACAGGCGTGAGCCACCGCACCCTGCCCACCTAGAGTTTTTATGAGATGCCATAAAACAGTGCCTTTGAACTCTGTTCTGCTACCCTCTCCCAGAAGCCAAGGTTTCCATGTCTGATCCCTGACCCTAGGGGATCCATCTCACTCAGGCAGGAAAGGAGTGCAGCCATCTCTGGCGTGGGTCTCGCTGAGAAACCAGCTTCACACGCAAACTTAGCACCTTGGGCAGCTGCCTCCCAAACTTCAGAAATTCTATCACCTGTGAAGTCTGGTATTTAGGAGGGTGACATGAAGTTGGCTGGGTGAGGGCAGTCCCTCCTTCTGATCACAGCCTCCCAAGAGTTCTGGAGACCAAATGTACAGTAGTCCCCCCTTATCCAACGGGGGATACATTCCGGGACCCACAGTGGATGCCTTAAAATCTCGGATTGTACTGAACCCGGCTGCCATCAGCTGGAGCATGTTTCTGTTCGTGTCTTCCACCCACAAACTGAAGCCTTTTCCATTTTCACTAAGCGCTTATCCTGCACTGTGGCCACACTTTTGCAGTTTGAGGTACAACAGCAAAATTAACACAAATTTCTGTTTCCTTCTTCACAATTTCATGAACGGAAGATGCATTCTTATCATAGATCTTAGCAACCTCAGCATATGATGATTTTTTTTCTTTCCTTATTGAGAACTATTACCTTTTCATTTAAAGGAAACATTTTATGGCTTCTTTTTGGCACACCCAAATTGCTAGCATCGCTCCTCTTGCATTATTTAGTAAAATAAGGGTTACTTCGGGCAGAGGGTTGTTTTTATTTTTGTTTTTTGGAGATGAAGTCTCGCTGTCTCACCCAGGCTGAAGTTCAATGGCACGATCTTGGCTCACTGCAACCTCTGCCTCCTGGGTTCAAGCAATTCTCCCATCTCAGCTTCCCGAGTAGCTGGACTACAGGTGCGTACCACCACACCCAGCTAATTTTTCCTGTATTTTTATCAGAGACAAGGTCTCACCATGTTGGCCAGGCTGGTCTCAAACTCCTAACTTCAAGTGATCTGCCCGCCTAGGCCTCCCAAAGTGCTAGGAGTACAGGTGTGAGCCACTGCGCCCAGACCAATAAAGGTTACTTTGAACGCAAGCCCTGCAATGCCATGACAGTGGATCTGATAGCCGAGACGGCTGCTAAATGCCGGTCAGGGAGCATGTAGCGTGTGGAGGTACTGGACAAAGGGAAGACTCACGTTTCGGGTGGGATGGAGTGGGGCGGTGGGAGATCCCATCATGTACTGAGAATACTGTGCAATTTAAAACTTACGAATGTTTTATTTCTGGAATTTTCCGTGTAGTATTTTCAGACCATGGTTGACTATGAGGTACCTGAATTGGTGGATAAAGGGAGAGTGCTGTGTTTGTACACAGGTGGGGCATGTGTGTAGTATATGTGTGTGCACACGCTCATGAGTTGTCTGGAAAGAGGAGTAAACACTAGAGGTGCTATTTTGTTTCTTTTTTTAAAAAAAAAATATTGCTGGGTGTGGTGGTGCACACCTGTAATCCCCGCTACTAGGGAGGCTGAAGCACAATAATCGCTTGAACCCAGGAGGCAGAGGTTGCAGTGAACTGAGATTGTGCCACTGCCCTCCAGCCTGGGTGACGAAGTGAGGCTGTCTCAAAAAATATATACATACATAAATATAAATATAAAAATATATAATCCTGCCTTCTATGTCACAGATTATGAAAAAGAAAAAATAACACTTTCTTGTGAATAAAAAGGAGTATATATATGTGTGTGTGTGTGTGTGTGTGTGTATATATATATAGAGAGAGAGAGAGATACACTTGATTACAAGGACAAGAAAAAGGAAGGTAAAAACTCACCTATATTTTCATTACAGAGATATTCTCCAGATAAATCACTGTCACTGAATTGTTCTGGGATATTTCTTTCAAGTCATTGTCCAGCACAGGTATCTACCTGTCTGCATGTGTGTATTTATTTATTTATTGAGATGGAGTCGCACTCCGTCACCCAGGCTGGAGTGCAGTGGCGCAATCGCGGTTCACCGCAACCTCTGCCTCCCGGGTTCAAGTGATTATCCTGCCCAAGTATCTGGGATTACAGGTGTCCACACCATACCAGCTAATTTTTGTATTTTTAGTAGAGACAGGGTTTCACTATGTTAGCCAGACTGGTCTCTAACTCCTGATCTCAAGTGATCTGCCCGTCTTGGCCTCCCAACGTGCTGGGATTACAGGCATGAGCCACCACGCCCGGCCCTTTTTTCATTTTTTCTGAGACAGAGTCTCTCTCTGTTACCCAGGCTGGAGTGCAGTGGCATGACCTCAGCTCACTGCAACCTCCGCCTCCTGAGTTCAAGTGATTATCCTGCCTCAGCCTCCCAAGTAGCTGGGATTACAGGTGCCCGCCATGATGCCCAGCTAATTTTTGTATTTTTAATAGAGATGGGGTTTCGCCATGTTGGCCAGGCTGATCTTGAACCCCTAACCTCAGCCTCCCAAAGTGCTGGGATTATAGGTGTGAGCTACCATGCCTGGCCTGTGAGCATATATTTTTAACTGTCATATGATATATCTTATTTTGCAATTTCTTTCTTTTTTTTTTTTTTTGGAGACACAGTCTTGCTGTGGTGCCCAGCCTGGAATGCACTGGTGTGATTATGGCTCACTGCAGCCTCGACCTCCCTGGACTCAGTGATCCTCCCACCTCAGAAGTAGCTGGGACCACAGGCACACATCACCACATCTGGCTAATTTTTGTTGTTGTTGTTTGGTAGAGATGGAGTTTCCACCATGTTGCCCAGGCTGCTCTCAAACTCCTGGGCCCAAGCAATCCACTTGCGTTGGCCTCCCAAAGTGCTGGGATTACAGGTGTAAGCCACCGCACCCAGCAACTTCCTTTTCAGTTGTTTTATAGTAATTCATTAGACAGCACAGTTTATGTAACCAATACCTCATTGTTGGACTTCCAAATTATATCTAATTATTTGATACTCAAAGAATGCTGTGGTAAATATTCCCATTTCCAAATATTTGCCATTAGATTACATCCACTATCACTTTGGGATAGATTTTAAAAAGTGAGGCCGGGCACGGTGGCTCATGCCTGTAATCCCAGCACTTTGGGAGGCCGAGGCCGGCAGATCATGAGGTCAGGAGATCGAGACGATCTTGGCGTAACAGTGAAACCCGTCTCTTAGCTAAGAAACAATCGTGACCAAACAGAAAAACAAAACAAGAGAAAGTTGGGTGTGGGGTGCGGCGTGCCTGTAGTGCGACTCAGGGAGGGGCGGCTGAGGCGGGAGAATAGTGAAGTCGAAGCCGCAGGTGGGCGGAGGTGCAGTGGAGCCGAGATCACGCCACTGCACTCCAGTCTGGGCAACAGAGCAAGACTCTGTCTCAAAAAAAAAAAAAAGTGAGATTGTTGAGTCAAAGACGTGAATAGGAAAACTGCCTTCCAGAAAAGCTGCATGAATGGATAGTCCCACCTGCAATACATAAGTGGCTGAGTCTCCATCTCTCCCCAGTGCTCTGGTACAGTATGGACGAAGCTCTCTATCAGTTTGATTGACAAAAAAGAAAACAGTCATTGTGTTGATTTATGTTTTTTTGATTACCAGTGAGAGAGACCATTTTAAAATATATTTATTAGCTATATCTCCCCTCGTTAGTTTTTAATTAATTTGTTGGTATTGTTTATAGAGTTAATGTCTTAAGACTGGTAATTTGCCTACCATTTATGTGATACTTGTCTCTAGTTTCTTGTTTGCCTTTTAATTTAGCCGGGAGAATCGTTTGGTGAACATGTTCTTAAAAATTGTTTCCAATGTCTTTGTTATGATAAATGTCAAACATATAGAAAAGTGAAAATAATAGTACATGGACTCAAACATT